GAAGAATTTAAAAAAAATAAAAAATCTATTAAACAGTTTTCTTGATAATAATGCTGCGTGCATTTTTTTGCCCCTAAGAACAGCCCATATTGGATAATATTCAGCAGTTACTTAATAAAAAATTTCTATCAAATTGCAAATTTTGCATATTTTGCAACTTCTTGGCCCATGAACAAATATTCAGTAAAAAACAATCGTCTTTTACACTTATCAAATCCTGAATGATTTTGCATACAAAATATTCCTTATTTTTCTCTATTGTTTTTCTCTATTATTCTTTATTTGACCTATAACCTTGTATCTTTTGAGTATTAAAATATACTTACCAGATAAAACATTAAAAAACCATTACTTTGACAGTGAACAGATACTACTCGTCAGTCTCTAATTTCTACAGCTTCTCAGCTTGGCCTAACTAATCCCTGTCTGCACTGTGAATTTTCCAGGAACCTGTTCATCAGTAACTACTTAGTATTAAGTGGGTAAAGCTGCTCTTTTCCTATCTGTAATTAAAGATAATAAAGAGGAAGGTGCAAGTCATGGAGAGTGCAAGCCCCAAAGGGTTAGGTACTATTTTAGCCTCATGCCCTAGTGTACAAAGGAGCCTTGTTCCAGTGAAAAGATGACATTTCTTTGTGTTAGACTTACATGCAGAATCTGTGTTACATATTTAGCAGTGGTCCTAAGTCACTTGCCTCTGAAATGCTTCAGGATGCTCTTAAAAGTATTTCTACACAAATGAGTCTTGCTACTGACAGCAGTGCAGCAAATGGATGGGGAACATTACCTAAAGAGCATCTATAACAAAGGAAAGGGAATCAAATGCCATGGCAATTTCAGAGGATAATCCACAGGGCTGGTAATTGCAACTTTAAAAATGCTGAAAGCTGCACATCTTTGAAAGGCTCAAACCCAATATTCTTACCTGCATTAAAGAGCGTAGTGCCACTACATTCATGGCAGTCCCTGCTTTAGTCAGAGACAACTTATAATTGGTGCTGTTGTGTACATGCTTGACTCTTGACAGGATTGTGGCTTTGGGAGGAGTAAGGTGCTATATATCACAAAGAAGTCTTAGTAGTTCTTGTCAGATAATGGAATCAGCACAAAATTCCCAGAACAAATAGAATTCTGTAAAATAACGCAGGTTTTAAGACCTGCAGGATGAAGTGACTGCAAGGACTGAATAATATATTTGTTAACAAAACAACAAGAAGAGGCACAGGTAAAAACTAACCAACCAACCAACCAACCACTGAACAAAACCACTAAAACAAAAGACAAAGCTTATTTATTGTGGTTTATTCTGTCTGGCTATTGAATTTATATATAGATTTTAGTCCAATGAATTTTGCCAGGATTTTTGAATTAAAATAATTTCATTGTAATGTAACGTGTTTCCCATTTGACATAATTTACATGTATTTCCGATAAATTCAAGAGTTATTTGCAAATATAATAACCAGAGGAAATGGCAGAGTCTCTTTTAAATGCTTTCAGCTAATACAGTACAGAATCATATGATTTTTTTTCTGCATATAAACAAGTAAATATTAGGATACTACTGTACATAAATAAAACCTGCATTTTTTATTATTGACTTATGTTCTTACTTTTAGATAACTGCTTCATATGTTCATGTAGCCTTTTTCCCCCAGAAATATTTACATAAAACTTGTCTACATTTACAGTAAATAACCATAATTGCCTACTGTGCTTTCAGCAGCCAAAAGCTGAATTGGCTATAGAAATATCTGATGAAGATTCTAGGAACAAAGGTATGACTAAATGACATCAATTTGTGTATACTATTACAAAATATTGAGAGGAATTTAGTGGCATTTGTTAATTTACAAAATGCAATTTAGTGTTGGATCTGAACTGCTCTAACAGTAGGACAAACCCTGCAATTACAGTTAAACTACAATTTATGGAACATACATTCTGCAAAACAACAGTATTGGAGTGTTTGCAGTGGTGTTGATGAAAGTATTTTGATTTCAAACAGGTAGCAAGCCAAATAACCCTTCATGTAGCAAACAAGCCCTAGTAAATGCCATCTCAGAAGCCTGCATGCTTTGACTCCAGGTGCATATGGCACAGTCACTGAATCACTGAGCTGCTCTCACTGCCTACAGAGCTTCTCTTCTCAGTATGTTCAACTCTATCCTCTCTAAGATAGCCAGCTCAGTTCTAAACCTCTCTTTTCACAAGCTCATACTGTTTTGAGGATTTTGCAGTTCTGTGTCAGTGATCAGAGACTCAAATAGTTGTTTCAAAAGAAAACATTTTTTACAGCTAGAACACTATGTAAGAGAATTTTGCTCAGAGATATTCCAGTAAGACATATTTTTTCCATTACAAAACAATAGATAAAACAACTGTCTGTATTTACAAATTCTTATCCGCTATCTTCTTAGTATGCAGTGTTCCATATGTAAAGCAATTTTATGCTGAAGCTCATATAGCACCCAATTTTAAGTTACTCTTATTGAGGCATGATTTTAATAACTATGGTCATAATTATCCATATAACTGACTATTTTTTGTTGTTCTTGTGGAAGTCATGTCAATTCACTAATATAAAAGAAAGAAAAGACATTTCACTGAAAATACAAACAAAAGTACCTATCACTAAACCAAACTTCTAAACTCTTAGGGCCCAATCCTGCAGCCTTGGCTCATGCAAAGAATTCTATTTAAATAAAATAATCCACTTAGAGCTGTTTTTTTGTTCATTTGAGTTTTGGATTTGTTTTTTGTAAAAACCCCATATGATGCAAATCAAGATCTACATATGGTACTTACTTTAGTGCATTTACATTTGTCTATGTTGGGTTTCTAATAGAACAAAGAAATGTATTTAGAATTTATTCATTTCAGTTCTGTTGATACAGAGGCTTGATAAAAGATAATCCAATTGCATCATGGTTGTGTGGTGCTGACTTGCTCCCACCTCTCTGTATATAGGGAATACTGAGAAGAATAAACAATGTTGTCCATCTCCTGTGCAATTCATCCCTTTACTGTAACCTTTTCTGCTTTAAAAATCTTTTGAAACAGGTTGTCTGTGAGATGGGGGAAGTGCAAATTCAACTTAGAAACTCAGCTATTGTTACTTTACCTCTTTCTTCCTAGCTGTGCCTGTCTTACCCTGACAGTGGATGCTTTTTTGTGGGTCTGAAGGTGGGCTCTCAGCACACTTCCATCTAGAAAAACCAGTTAGACTGAGGAGAAGCAGCTCACATGCCCTTCCTTAAGTTTATGGGGTTGGGACTGTGAAGCAAGGGCCATTCCTAAGTAGTCACTGCCACAAAGATAAGATGAAATAGGCCCTGCTGGGAATCATCAAGGTGGTACGTGCAGAAACTCAGGAGCCACCACAGTGGCTCATTGCAAAGACCTGTCGGCTGGTAGGACGTTCTGAGGAGACTGGTTTTGTGACCTTTCTCAGATACAATGAGCAAATTCCAGTATCCTCAGACAAGTGAGAAAGCAGGTTCTTGTGCTCTTAGATGTCTCTAATAATACATATAAACATTGTGACACTTCACATCCTATATGTATCTCTGAATGTCATGTGAGTGCTTGCAAGCTACAGAATTTCTTGCCTTGAAAGAAAGTGAAGACATCCACAGATGTCCTCCAGACAGGATGTGATTACCTTGAAACATCTGACTGAAGTCCAGGCTCCTGAGTCTCACAGGCCCATTGAAAAGGTCCCAGTCAGAAGTGTTAATGTCATGCAGTTTCTGTCCCCTCTGTACAACTGTCATATTTCACTAAGGACACAAGAGATACTCAGGTAGTGACAGCTGAACATAGTGAGGAAAGAGCAGTTCCATAAATAAGAGGGTAGTCTAAATCCCACCTATGCTGAAAGTTAAAATATGAGTTAAAATTGTTCTCTGTTAGTTAGGAATTGAAAACATCAGTACTTCACATCCATCAGTGGGTTTGTTTTTTTTTAGTAATAAGATTTGTATGGTTTAAGCCCCCTCCCCAATATAACAAGATTGAAAGGACAAGAGTTGGTTATATTGTCTTGTAGTGAACAGGAGGCATTCTGAAATCTCAAATGAAGCATTTTGAAGGCAAGTGATACTTACATACCTTATAAATAATCTAAGCTTGTTGCATTATCATAAACTGTAAGAAATAACATAGCTGTTTTCTAAATGAAAAAAAATAATTTTGTATTTTCTGTACAAACACATGCTAGTTAAAATTAGCCAATGAATTTCAGAGACAAACCCTTGTCAGACTGTGCTATTACAACAATAAATGAACACCAGAAATGAAAGCCAGTATTTAGGAGAATGTATAGCAAGAGAGCACCACATACAATAGTCAAGTGGTTGTGCAATAACAGAGAGCATCTTTACCTTTACAGAAACATCCATATTTTTAGGCACTTTGCTATCATGTTTCTAGTGACTGTCCTTCTGGCCAGTTTAAAACTGAAGGCCTCCAGAAACAAAACCTCACAGCTTGTGAAAGCAGAACTGTAAGATTTATGTTACCCATAGACTGGGCACAGACCAATGGGTATGTAATAATAAACAAAGATCATCTGTGCATTTCTATGGAAGTTGAGGTGCTGGAGCTAAAATATATCTACATTGTGTAGACACTCTTGCTGACCTTTGGATTATATGTGAATTAAGTTTTATCAGTTAATCAATGGGAACCTTGTATTACAAATAAGTTGCCATCTTTCTGCTCTTCAGGAGACAAGAGCAGTGACTACTGTATGTCATATCCTAATGCACTCCTGGAAAATCACCACATAGGAAATTAATTTGTTTAATACATTTTGTATGCCTGGGATATTTTACACTGACCAACCTAAGGGGTTCTCTCTCCTTGAAGAAAGAGAATCCTATATTTTAATGTGATGTTCCATTTGCAGCATTCATCTTCAACATAATCCTGAACACATGTTGCTTGCCAGCAAGGGGTATATATAATATATATATATATATGTTTTCTTTTCTGAGGCTGAGATCTGCTCTGGCAATGACTTTAGCCACCACCATCCCAGAAAAGATGCTACAACTCAACTACAACACCAGGGTATGAAATCGTATTAACAATAATTATGTTCCCTGCTCCCAGGAAGAGACCTGCCCTTGAAAGTCTTCAGCACACCACCAAAAGAGCATCTGTCAGGCTAAGCATCTTTCTGCATTCTTCTATTTTGTAGCAGACTACCACACCAAATTACTTGTGAGGCATGTAAGAGCCTTATTCAGGTGTACTCCAACCTCAAAAAATAAAACTCATCTGAAATAAATGGTTATTTGCCTAAGAGCAAAAGTCCCTCACGGGAGTGTGGTCCGAATTAAAATGTTTGTTGCAGAAACAGATTTCTTACAGTCACATGGCAAACAAATGTATATGCACAATAGGAGACAGAAAAAGGGTTCTTGAGCTGGGCTATGATGTTTCCAGTCCCACAGTGCAGAGATGAGAGTCATGTCGCCTGGCCTGAATGGCTGCTTTTAAACAGCCGTGTCCCAGCCTAAGCAGGCCTGTCACACTGGTGACTCTGGTGACTCCACTCTGGCTCTGGTGAGATGAGCAAGAGACAAGGCAGCGCTGTCAGCTTTTGTAGCCAAGAGTAGCACAGTTAACACTAAGTTCTGGGAAGCAGACAATACCAGAGAGAGCACTCTGTGTCACAGCTTTACACGTCAGCTTTCAGAAAGCACATGCAAACCATTTATCCAGCATCTTATAAAAGCACCATTGAACGGTTGAACAGAGAGCACCACGTATACGGAACTGTGTTCAAAACAGCGGACAGGAGCTGTTCAGGGAGCCATGGAGAAGCACGCAGCCCAGAAGCATCCCTGCAGGATGGATTCCTTGAAGGCACGATAGATGAGGGCTTGGAGAACAAGGCAGCTGGTCATCAGCCAGTTGAAACTATGGGGATAACCCAACTCTGAGTTAGTCATGAATATGAATCCCCACACCTACTCGTCCCTTACTCCATGGATCCTGCTACATGTAAGCAAGTCTGCAATTTATATTAATAGAAAGACTGAAGCAACGAATTGTTCACAGTTGACATGAACACCACCTCCCTGAATGCTCACTATTGTAAAACCTAGTTTCTTCAAAAGAAGACAGATAATTCTTATTGCAAAGCTTAGTCATCATAGCTACATTACTGGGCTTTTCACTGGATGTTTGGGAGTGAGTATTGCTATTGTAGGGCTAACTGAGGTCCAGTACATTAAATGTGTCTTTATAAAGATGTTTCCAACTTGGAACAAGTAAACGTTGGGGTTGTCCCTTTGTACTTTTGAGTTTAACACATGCAGTATGGAAGTACTAGCTACTTTGTAGAAAAGGCACTCTTAACTGATCTAACTGTGGTAATTAGGTACATGCCTGTGCTACATGTATCTGCAAAGAATTTACTTCTGTCTGTGGCTGAGAAAGTTATTCCACACTATGGTAGAAAAGGATGACTGGTTTACATATTGGATTAGCACTGGTTTAGGTATGTGGTAAGAACAATGCTCATGGGAGACACAGATTCATGGAAGAGATGTCTGAACTGCATTTCCTATTTTCTACCAGTTCCTAGAGAGAAAACAAAAAGACCTTTTTACTAGTGCAGTTGTATTCTGTTATATATACATACATATATATATATATATACACACACATTATATATAGTTATATATAATGTATATATACATTACAGCTTCTCCTGGCCTTACAGTGGCAATTTGATGTGAGATCTTATTGTACAGTTGTGCCAAAAAAAGGAAGCAAAGAAATAGACTGTGAAGCTTCCCCAGAAAACATCACCAGGTAACCAATACTTCATTTTGGATGTTGACATCTTCTTTAGGGATATGGTGAAAGAGTTAAAAAGAACAGTAAAGAGACAAGTAGAAGAGACTCCCTTTTCTTTACAGTCAGATTTATCTCTTTGGGGATTACTGCTGGAAAAATCTTTCTATCAAATATATTAATGAAAAGGAAGCACTGACAACAGCCATAATGGAACAAGTATTACTTCTGGGAAGAGGGAACTAAACCAGAACCTTGATTCTTTGTCAAGAAATGTAAATACTTACCAACCTCAGACTGAATTCTAAAACATTTTCCTTTACCATTAGACTACATAATGGAGATTGCAGGGGAGTTACGGACTCCTCTGTACATCCTTGTTCAGGAGGATAATTCTTTTTTGCAGCTTTTAAGTCCAGTGTATGTGGGTCTCAAGGCTGAGGGCAGGATCATATCCCAAAAGCAGCAATCCAAAATGTGAACTGCTTCTCCATGAGACTGAGGTCTGATGGACCATTAAAAGGCTGTGACCAGCCTGAAAGTGATTTAAAAAGGAAAGAATGTGCCACTGCCACAGGACTGCAGACATGGTACCAGTTCCCAGTGCAAGGCTGTATGAGACAGATTAAAAACAGAAACCAAAGAAAGAAGAGAGGGGGAGGAAAATTCTTCTTTCACTGTGAAAAAGGGAAGTCTAGGAGGTCTCAGGAGCAGTTGTCAGAACAGACAGAAGAAAGGATGGAAGGACTTGTGTCCCTTCCTACAAAGCACAATTTCTGGTCTGGCAACGAAAGACAACAGAATGACTGGACAGTCCTATACCATCCTTTGACCTGCTGGTCTCAATGGGGGTATTTCTAGAGTGATGTTTGCTTTTCTTTTTATTTTTTTTTCACCTTAAAATTTTACAATAAAGAATTCATTGCTATTCTTTGCTATCAACTGACATTATCTCAAGATATCTTTGAATTGGTCTTGGAATTGAATCTAGTGAACTTGGCAAACCTCGTGTTCCTACTGTTTCTCCAAAAGCAGTCATCCATGTATAGGGATAACTGCATCTTGAGATGTATTTGGGAATTTCAGGAGTTGAGGTATGCCTGCCACTAAGCTGCAGGAGTCAAGTTGAGGACTACATATATAAACTGGTACCCCTGAGCAAGGAAGAGACAGCAAACACATAGTTAAAGACATTCTCCAGACTTAGCACAACAAATCTTCTGAAACATGGTGCATTTTATCTTTGGCCTGAAACAGTGTGAAGTACGAGAGAACATTCAAAGGTAAACTTCATGAATTCACATTCAAGGAAACAGACACAAGAACTTTTACAAAGGGAAAAACTCCAGAAAGCAAGACCACAGTCATCCTTAAAAAGCACTGAAGTGGAAGCAAAGGGTTTTCTGCAGCTGTCAAAACATGGCAGCATGGTCAAGATCAGGATGGACATAGAGTGGTCTGAACTGCTTCTCCTCCAAGGAAGAGAGTTGTAGATCGAGTGTGCTGAACTGTCACACAAGGCCAGGATCCATGAAGTTTGAACCACCCTGTGGGCAGAGGCTGACTGCACAACTGCACTGCTTCTCAGAGCTGTACTACTTACAGGCAAAGCCTGTAAATCAGCACGCTTCTTTCAGTTATGAAGCTATTTCTAATAAATGTGTGTAACCAGATCTATGTTTGCTCTTTATAGTACCATGTCAGGTTGAGCACTGACCAAGGATCCGAGAAGGGCTCAACCTTCAAAACCCAGTACCAACTGAGCTGAAAGTAAACCTGTTTTGTTTACTACAGAATAAGTCAACCTCAGTTTATGTACTGTTTATTTTGAATTAAAAATAAACTGCTTTTCAAGCGCATGCCAGATATTACGTATGTGAATGTTTCCAAGTCTGGACTATAACTTATACTTGTGTCCAAATTACAAGTGTATGCTTATATACATGGGGATATGTGCACATGCATGTCACACAATGCTAGTTCTTTCCTGCTGGACTATTCTTGTACCATTGTACTATTTATTGTATTATTCTTGAAGAAAAAAAGTACCAATCCAGTACCTGCGTATTTCATCTAAACACTGTACTTTGCTTTTCACAGTAACAGAATAACTCAGCATTTTTGAAAAGCCAGTGGCTTTCAAACTGCTTGTCAGAGGCCCAAGAAGGTCTTGGTTGCCCCTTGTTCTGCCTTTTAGCAGAAGAACAAAGAAGACCAGTGGCTATACCAAACTAAATCCCACTGTCTCTTTTGCCTCTTTTTTGCCCTTTGGCAGTGTTCTTTAACACAGACTCTATGATTTTAGCTTAAAAACTGCAAGGCATGTTCCATATCCCTGCTCAAGGAGACAGAAAAAGCCAACAAAACAACCCCAAAGCAATTTTCATTTATCTACTTTTGAAATAGGAAAAAAATCTTAAAAACAAAACCAAATAAAGCCCAAATAAAGAATGGGATTCCTCCTGTTACAAACCCCAGTAAGTTAATCTACAAAAACTCTGAAGATGAAAAATATGTTGTAAAAAATAAAAATATTATACACTCAACACAGTACATAATTTTTCCTATATAAGAAACTAGACAAACATATTAAAATATTTAAGTCTTTAAAAAGGGCAAAATTCTGCAAAAAAATTACTCAACACTACTAAGGTTAGTCTACACATTATGCCAATGCATTCATTTGCACAGCTTTTTGCAACATGACAATGGTCTGGGGTGTGTATGTGTAGTTGTTTGTGTCCGTTTGAGGGAAACAGTGCAAGAATGCTAAGGGTGACCACTGCCATTTTAAAGGGATATTTCACAAATAATCAAACAAAACCCCTACAAATACCAGTACACATCTCAAATACTGCAAGTCACATTCTACAGCCCTTGACATTAAAAAAAAAAAGAAAAAAGAAAAAGCCAGCAGAATTAATTCAAGTACATTTGTAAGTCGGCCCCTTGTGAACTAATGCTGTTTGCACTTTAGTTGCAGTGAAAGTGAACAGAGCTCCCCAAAAGACTCAGAAGTGAGTGCATCTTCCCCAGCCCTGCAAAGAAAGTCTGAGTTGAGGTACAATTATCCGTGGTTTGCTCAACATTGTGGATGCCGAAACTTGAATGAAAAATTATGCTTGAAAAACACTTTGAAGAAAATGACATAAAATAATCTCTTAAAATGAGAAGCTAGTTTTGTGTAAAGGTAGTCTTTTTGGTACATAATCCTTTCAGGACGACAAGCATGGTACTCCCCAAATTACATTTGCCTTGGAGCTAGTAATGATAAAGAAACCTTTACATTGTCCTGGTCATCTTTCTGACCTGACGTACCCTTTCCCATGAGCCTTGAACCACCACTCAGAAAAACCAGCGGCTATCACACCCTGGCTGAAATATACATTGCTTCTTCACAACTTGTGTTCCAAACTTAGCTTTGTTCCTCAAAAGGAAAAGCACTTCCCTCTCCATGTTTCACTTGTCCTTTGAAAATAACAGTGGGGAAATCTGCTGCCGGAGTAGTTAAAGTCTGGTGAATTCCCTGTGGTGCTGCAAGTCCCCTATGCTCTCATAGTCATTCTCTCCTGAAAGAGCAGTGTGGTTTGTGTTAGGCACAGACAAGGTCCTGTCTTCTTCTTGGCTCACTGACTGGATAGCTTCATAGTCCGGCTCCAGCTCCCCATTTGGTCTGTCCGCTGACTGAGGCACAGTGGTAGAATTTAGGGTGTTTTCAAAGTCTTTCACACTTGCATAGAGGCCACTGCAAATAGACGGCGACCTCTGAGATGTGATTTCTTGAATGCAGGTGTAAGGAGAGTCCAGTGCCTTGATGGCCTGTCCCGGCTTACTCACCGATGAGTACATGGCTGAGATCTAGGAAAAGGAGACACCTGCTGAGTATGAAGCATGGCATAAAGCTTGGCCATCAGTCTGTACCCTTGTACTACAAGGATGTTGGTTATTTAAGGAAAGACAAGATCCTCTGATAAAAAGATATCCTTTCTAAAAGAATATGATTTTTCCCTTGAAACAAATATAAAAATTATTTCTTACAAATCCTTCTTTTTCTAGTATGCATTTATAAATTGGTTTTCTTTCAAAAAAAGAGTGCTTTATAAAATAATTTTGTAATGTAAAACTTCCTTGAATATAAAACCCTGGCAAGAAAATTAGAACTGGGGAAAAGGAAACGGCTTTGTGACCAGGAGCTCTTGAAAGTTTTGCTGTGGTCCTGGAGTCAATTTGGACTCAATAGGGAGAGAGGCATCAAAAGGAGGATCAGATTGAACTGCTGTAATGTAGGAGAAGGATGCTGTCTGATCCTTAGGGCTTATAAAACTATTGTTACTGTTTTTAATAGTTGTGGCTACTTTTCTGCTTTCAGAGACACTGCAGTAGAAGAATAGCTAATTGTTGTTTTTATAGGTAGGACTAAATAGGCACCAACACATGTGAAGACAATATTAAAAATCTGTAAATAAATTACTCACACCAGATAACAGCAAACAGTGCCAATACTGATAGGTCTGCTCTGTTGACTATACTCTGCCTACAAAGAAAAGCTGCTTCTCAGGCATTGAGTATGTGAACTTTAGACTGGAGACTGAAACTTCTCAGCTGTAAGAGACAGCGTTTCGTTCCTAAATCAAAATTCCCTCTGGTGAGGTGGTACACTTCAACAAGTGCATGAAAGTGGCCCTTCATGAAACAGTGAGGAGAAGCCCACACCCACACATGTCCTTCTGCTCAGGGATGACCTGGGCTTGGTGCCAAGCACAGGGATCAGGCTTAAGTCCCTCTCCCAGGCACAATGGGTACTAGCCCTTGCACAGGACAGATGGCTGAAATTCCCTGCGTGGCGTCTCTGGTAGCCAGTATGCAACACAGCTCTTCTATTGCATTTAAAGTCTTTCCCAAGCATGCAAGGCCATTCTGGGTTTGTATCAATCCAGTTGAAAGAGTAGATTGGCATGAAAATGTCCATTTCCATTCAGCAACACAGACTGAAGCAGATGAATTGGATGACTTCTGATAATTTTGGGATTTTTTTTGGTGTGTGTTTGTGTGAGGGTGGGTTTGGTTGGTTGACTGGTTGGGGTTTTTTTTTGGTTTTTGGTTTGGGGTTTCTGGTGCTGGTTGGTTTTTGTTTGTTTTAGAGGGACATCAACCTGGAGATAGCAATACTTCTTACTTTTTTACGATTTCAGCTAACCAAACAAAAAATGGCTTTTTTTCTCATCTATACTTAACTCTTCTCAGGATTAGATTGCATTAACCCAGTTCAAGATCAGGTTATTCATTAACGTCTGGGAATGCTTCTCCTAGCAGAAGGCATTAGCTCACTTAGCTCGTTGCCAAGTTTGTGTTTACTTTTATGTCCAGAGAACATATTTATAAATGGCATGGGTGTACTGGAGATGATCCCAAACAGCCTTATTTTTGTTTAACTTTTCTCTTTGTTTAATTCTCCTCCATTTATCTGACCAACAGACATTTTAAAGAACAGTTTACGTTACGTTCCAGTGCTTTTCTTGTGCTTCAGTTTACTTCCCAGAGCCCCAAACACTTTGTCTGGGGAAGGTAGAGCATATGTTTCAAAGGGCTGCTGGTTAAACTTGAGAAGGTCTTGTCATCCAAATCAAGAAATTACCCCCTAAGAATCAACTAATTGTGGTCTCCTACTATTTTCTGACACCATTTTTGATCTTTGGGCCCGATACAGACATATGTTAGAATAGTTCTGATTTTAGGAACATGGCAATAGAAACTCTATGAAAAGAATCTTGGGCTTTAATTTTCTCTTCACACAAGTTTCACCTTTCTTAGATTCTGCTTAATCATGTAGAGCTTATGCTAATTTCTGCCTAAAAATTGGTCTCTAGTTAGTTACTGAATTTCATGCAAGAAACCTACCTCATCTTCTGTAAGAGATGGATCTTCCTCTCGAGACTTGTAAGACACTGAACTAAGCCTCTGTAAAAAAGGAAGAAAGAAAGAAAATAAAAGGCACATTACCCATCAACAGTCCAAAATCCGTAACAAAACCCTCCCATTATAATCAATACATTACATTTTATGGTCATTTGCTCTCAAGTTCCATTATACATAGTTAATATCCCCACTATTCACTTCTCTGGAGATAACAGCACTGAGGTTAATAAAGCTTTTTAATGTGTCTTCTCTTGTCCTGACCTGAAAAGGGTAAAAATAATGTAATGGTTAAAACAAACTCTGCACCACTGTATCCCTGCCTTTACACTTCTTATGAAGTATCTGCAGAGGCTTCTGAACAATTGGACATCAGCTGTTGTGATACACCAGTTGTCCTTTCAAAAGATGACAAAAGAACAATACTCAGCTGACACCTTCTGGATGATTGCTGTCCTTCATTCTGTAGATCCTGCATGGGAGAGCTGTGTCCTCCCCATCCCTGGAGTGCAGTCCCTGTGCAGAGGTGCTCAGCAGTGCACAACCACTCAGACCTGCTGAGGCCCACCCTGAGCTGGAGCCAGGTCACACAGCAGGGTCACTGAAGGATGGAGGGCTTGGTTTGCTATCAAGTCTAATTTCAAGCATCTGAAGTGTTCTGTGTAAAACAGGTAATGACACATCAGGGGAAAAGCATTTTGCTTTTATGAAAAATGCCTTTGGACCTTTACAGCAACAAAGACCCTGCTGCTATACGGCAACTGTGGGATGCCTCCTCCCTGGGGCAAGAAAGTTTTGCCAGACTCCTGCTCCACAGTGATTCAGAGGGAGCCTTCCAGCACTGTTAAAAGGCTGTATTTTGGACTTTCACACAACTTCTCCAACTAAAATACTTCATACCACCTCCAATGCAAACCAACAAGGAGGACTAGAGCTATTTTTAGCACAGTCAATAAAAAACCACTTCCAGGTACACAGAACTTTTTATTTTTTGTTTGTTTTTTTCTCTCAGAGGCTCACTGTGATAGATTCTTTCCTCCTTCCATCTTCTTGTTGTTTTTACTTCTGGTAAATACCAAACTCCAGGTTCCTGAGCACTTCTGACAGTTTTCTGGCCCAAAGCATACTAAAGTTCTGCCTGTTGCTCCTGAAGAGCTTCCCTCACACTGACATACTCTGTCACTTCTTTCTCACAGACTGGTGAACAGTGCTCTTTAACCTGTGGTTTGTTTACTTAAAAAAAAGGGAAAAGTTTAAATATATTTTGGCTTTGTATTAGATCAGTACAGCAACTTAGTTTAGTCTTTCCTATCTGCAGTATTATTTTTTGTGCTGGGGAGAAAGCTAATTTCATCCTCACACATTAAAACAACCATGTGCTCATAAAATTCTTCAGTGATTTTTCTGTCATCAGTGTGTCAATAAGCACCATGTGTCAGGACCCCTTCTACAGTTTCCCACTCAAGTACTGATAAATACCCCAGGGTGTTTGCCATCCTGTGCTGTTCCCCTGGATATAGCATTCTTTCTTCTAAATGTGAAGCTTGTGACACATCAGTTTTGGAGAATATTGTTATCCTTCAAAGTTAAAAAAATCCCACTTGCCCCTAAACCTTTTGTACCTAGCAACATTTTAAACTATGCTGAAACCTCAAGAGTAGCAACACAAACAACATGTCTCCTTATTTGCCTTCCACTTTCTTTTCATTCCTCAACAGCACTTGATTTTTTGCTCTTTGGCTCAGCTGCTGCTCCTGACTTGGGCACAAGAACAAGAAGAACATTCTCCTCTGGTGCATTTGTAAGAGATGCTTTGCCCATCCTCAGGCTGTGCAAGGCTGAAATCAGATGGCAGCAGCCAGATGGACACACAGAGAGCATTTCTACTGATGCTCACTCTGGAAAGACCTGGGTGAAAAAGAAGGTCCATACTTCCTTTCTAAATAAAAGAAAGAACTAAAGAAATCTATTCTACTTTTCCAGTATCATTAGAAGAGCTATGCACAAGGTTTTGCAGGTGATAGAGGCCTATAAGAGGCCTTGTGCTATTAAAGGTATGTCTTTCTTCACCAAGTCTTTCCAAAGAGTTTGGCTGGGTGACAGCCAAAAACCAGTTTAGGTAAATTTTCATACATTATTTCACACCTGCCTCTTAAAAGGACGCTTTGTTGTTTTCATGCTGTTATATATGGGAATGGTCTCTGGCTTGGTGCACCTGGTTCTCTCCCAGACTGGGGTGCTTCAGGGACAGGCACGGGCTGGGGATCACCCTGGCTGCCCTCTTTTAGATGGTGAGACTGAAACAGCTTGCACACATTCTGTTCCCTCTGTTGGTAGGTACAAGCCTCAGTTACACAGGTGCCTCCCTGCCTGTCCCTTCTTTGTGCCCTCATTACAGTCAGGGAGACTTGCATGACGTACACACAACCTCTGTCTTCATCAGGGCCAGAGCAGAAGGCTGAAGAGTTTGGGATACAGATGTCATGCTAAACAAAGCAGCTAAGTAGACTCATAGAAGAGGAAGCAAAGCCAGAAGCACCTATGGGGTGCAACTAAAAGAGTTATCAGTGTAACACACATTTCCATGAACATCTTGGTTTCGGTTGCCACATTGTAAAAAACAGGCATTGCTCTGCACCACTTGAAGCAGCAAAATGAAGGGAAAAATTATCATCATCACAACAGAAAAACAATCCCACAGCCACCTCCCTGCACAATGCCAACAATAATGACATTTATATATTCCATCAATTACCATCTCCAGCTCTGCTGCAGCTGTAGCTCTCAAGGACAGGACAGGCGCACACCTCGATGCATAATGCATGTACCCAGCAGCGAGCACGGGAATGATCTGATGCTGCCCAAGATTTAACTCAGGGTGGCTTCAGCCCTGAATAAATTTTAATTAGACAAACACCTTTTTTCTGGCACTTAGTGGACTGCGTGTGTCATCTCCTGATTAATCCTTCAAAACCCGAACCATTTTAATCAATTCCCACTCCTTGCAGTCACTGACACTGCATACACGGTGTGCTGGGGAGCTACAGAGCAGCAAGCTCTGCATCTGTATCTGTTTTCCTTTGTATCAGTGCCTGGAAAATACAATTACTTTCTGCTTGTCTTTTCACACCTGGTAGGAAAAATGTCACTGTTATGCAAAGCTGTTTATCTGAAAGTTTAATTAGAAATTACTTATGGCTGGAATGTGGGAGGGGGGAATGTTGCTGGACTATTGTTGACAATCACTTCTTAATTTTCTACTTAACGAGCTCATTATTTTTAAAAATGTGCACTGAAGAGTCTAGCTAAACAATTTTTATGCTGCAAGAAGTCTTCAGTTTATTCATTTGGACTCTATTGTGCTTTACAAGTTACATGGTTATTTATTTAACAAGATATTATTTGGCCTTCTTCCTGGATTACTGAAATTCTTCAAATAAGAGAACAACCAGAAACAAGTAACAACTTTACCTCAGCTCTGCTGTGATATTTCACATAAATGTTTACATTTAGAAGTCACATTGCATTTTAAGAATTTTTTTAAAATTTTCCTCAAAATCTACCTAATATTTGATAACTTGGACACCAAAAATCTGCTAAACCTACAGTTCCTTCATTCACAATTAATAAGATATCTTATTAATTCTTATTAAAACGTTCTGAAAAATGCAAACTCAACAGTTTTATGAAAAGTCTCTCCTATGATCTGAAAGCATCCTTAAAATGACTTCTGATAAAAAACTATAAACTGTTGAAAATGTCATAATTCTATTTTTCATGGAATTCAGCACAACTCACTTCAAGGGGGAAGCATAAGCTGCTGAAAAAACTTAACTTTTGGCTGTGATTTCAGCACTTAGAAATTCCTTATACACTGTTTATATGTGACATACAGAATTTGACAAATAAAAAACCATACAGCTGCAATCTCTTTCTATCCCTCACTCCTACAGCAAAAGACAAAGTGAGTCACTTTGAGCAAATGCCTAACACTTGCCCAGCTAAGGCTAGGTGGCCCAACAAAAGAGGCATATCTAAAGCAAGGACACCCACCAAGGATGCCCCCTTCTCCTTTTTTAAGTTGCAGTTTCATTAGGAAAAAAAGAAGAGTGGGCTTCAGAACAAGATATAGATGCTGACAGAGATACTGGATGTGCTTTGTAATAGTTTCCACAAGTATAGAACCATCAAACAAAGAAGCAGAGGCCTCTTATGAAATTCCTGGATAATATTTGGGAAAAGCCTTATGCAGTGCATAGCTGCAACAATCAAAAATACCAGTGGCAATAGAATGAGGATATGCCTCTAATACAAAGACTATACTACACATTATCATATTTCCATTTACAGTGTTGCTTCATCTTGAGAGGGTTTTTTTTCTTGTTATTTTTTGTTACAGAGAAATAAAATCCTCTGCCACCCATATGTTCTCTATCATTATGTGGCTATTTGATGAGGACAAATATTTGCAATATTTACCTTTTCTGGTTTACTTGCTCCTTCTGTCACTTCTTCTTCCACATCTTTTTCTTGCACATTCTCATTTTCATCAAGAAGTTTCATGGGTACTGGAGGGGGAAGCTCATCTTCTACATCTGGTATGTTGTCAAGGGGACTTTCTGAATTTGCACTTTGGCGACTCTTCTTATTTCGGTCAACAGATGCATATTCTGCTGACTCAATTCTGCACTCAGGAATCTGATTCTGACCTTCAGAAACTGTCAGTGAAGTCTTTGATTTGCTGTTACAGTTCCCTTCCATGCTGACTACTGCTCCAACATCTTTAATTTCCTTCACAGTTTCATACAAGCAGTCTTCAACTATGTTCTCCTGAGAGGAGCTGTCTTTCAAGACTTCATAAGGCCCTTCCATTCCAAGACCTTGATCATTTTCTGCATTTCTAGATGAGATGATAGTTTCCATGGGGTTGTTAGGGGGAATACTGGGTAGTTCCCGGCTCTGGTGACATTTTATAGACTTTCCAAGACTATCCTGTTGATCTAGTAGATCAGATGTCTGTACTTCTTCATAAGGCTGGATACAGGCAGCTGTGCTGTCCTCAGAAAGAACTAAAAAAAATTACAGAGAAGTATTACAAACAAAGGCACAACTAAAAAGTGTGACTTGGTACTCTCTACATCACTTTGTTTTTGTGATATCTGGAAAGGATAAATGATACTAATGCCTGGAAATTAACATGCTTTTTGCTTATCAAAAGGTTCCAGTTACAGACATTTCTGCACTCTACTGGTAAAATATCTTTCTAACAACATCTAAAATAGTCTGTACACCCCCGAGTCACATTATATGGCAACAGCATTCACTGTCAGAACAGGGGGTGGAAGGTTAGCTTTGCATGGATATTCAGCTGCCTTGTACTCAGTTTCACTGAATGATTAGAGTGCTCAGTAGTCTCAGATGGGAAACAGGTGGGAGGCTCAAACCAAGCGCCTTAAAAAAAGTCCTTGTTAGATTTTCCTCTTTGCATTTCCCCATTCTCTGGAATCAAAAGGAAAGCCTTCCTTCTTCCTCCCTACCACCCCTCAGCTTGTTTAACATGCTGGCCAAGTTCTCGTTGGAATTGCACTTTGCTCAGCCTTCCCTGCACGCTCACCAGAAGCTCCTCACTGAAGGCTGAGCCATACTTCTCTTAGTCTCGCAGCACATAATGTAGGTTGACAACCTACTAACGAGCTGGCCATATGCACAAGAGAGAAGACTAGACTTCAGAAGGTAGTGTTAGGCAGAACATGTTGTTTTAGGTCCCAGAAGTGGGCCACATGTCATTGTCACTAGAGTATTAGGGACTGAAATGTATGGGGCTTCTCATCTTGCACCACACGTGTGACATTTGCATGCATTCATGGGCGTATACAAACATGTTTCAAGCATGGTAGGTAACTTTACCTCACACTATTTCTTTAAAAAAATCACTTCTGAACAGCTTTACTTTTCCTAGTACGGTTCCTAAGGCACTATCTCAACAAAAACAACCCATTCTTCTGTGTCCTTCAGTGTGTTGACAGTGTGACAGAAGTGTTGCCAAAGCAATCAATGCCCTTGATTTGGTGGTTGCCACTGCCATTGCTTTCTCTTGTTTTCAGGGCATACAGACACAGCATCTGCAGGGAGCCATACTCTGACAGCAAAACTCAGGACAGAAGTGGAGGTGTAAGATGGTAATCACTGTCTGAATGGGAGATGGGCGTTTTGCCTTTCTGGTCCTTGATTCTAGTGGTTTCTATGCTGTGCTGAGCATCCTTACAGAACTCAGCACACACCCCATTCAGGCTGGAGGGGATAATCAAAAACAATGAGAGCTCAAGTTTCTGTGTTTCTGTGGTTATGGGTGGTACCACAGAAGGGGTTGGTGTAGCTGAAGGGCTGGCATAGACAAGACAATGCTGGCAGATTGGGTAAAGGAAAAAAACACAGCATTTGATGGTTCTGCTTCCATAGCTCTGCCCCTGATCAAAAAGCTAGCAGAAACAGTAATAAAAAGAACTACTAATAAAAAGTGCATAAAGTATAAGTAAGAAATTAAAGCATGGGGGTTCCTGTTATTCAGAAGGGCTGATATGCAGAGTGTAAGCTGAGTACAATATCAGACAGTCTGAAAACTGTCTGCTGGTTGACAGCACACCTTTTAGCAGCAGCTCTGACAGCTGCACATGTGGTGACTCATGGCAGAGAGAAATACTTCCATTCTGAAGAGCTTTGCTCTGCACATCAAGTCCCTCAGGGAACCACACCTACATACACAACAAGCCAATGGATGGGAACAGCAATTAGCTGCAAAAGCAAAGTTTAAAAATTACTTTGGGTACATGTCTCTAGGGGGTAAAGCCTGAGTAGCTTAGCCTCTGGTTGCAGGAGATGAGGAGAGAGCTGTAAGCTGGAGTGCAGTCACTGGTGCTAGTGTTAGTGTGAAGTCAACAGTTGGTTCCCAGTGGCTCTGAGCTGAGAGTGAGTTTATTTTTAGGTGCAGCTGAATAAAATATTTTCCAGTGATACTTCAGGGTGAATCATTTTGAGTGTTCAGAAAAGCAAAGCCTATTTATGTTGCCTGTTTTATAAAATATAAAAATATAAGTGACAGCAGAGAACAGGACTGTGATCCAAAGCTGTAATCCCTGGAGGAGGACCTGAAATATTTCCACAGCCTCCTGGAGCACTTTTGAACCTCTAAGGTGCAACTTCATCTTCTGGTTTCATCCCTGTTCCATAGCTTACCAAGATTAGGGAAGGTCCCAATCTCTGCCTGATGACCTGGTCAATCTGCAGGTATGGCTTGGTGACCCAGACCCAGCAGCCCAGGAGAGGACCTCAGCACTTCCAGTGCTGGCTGTGCCAGAGCACATCCAGTAGTGGAGATGCAGCCTAAACCACCCAAATCTCCATGAAATGATCATCTCCACTGACTTCCCAGAAAGGCAAATGACTCCATGGCATTTTCAGACTTGGTTGTAAGTTCTGTGTGATCTGGTGTCAGACCTGCAGAGGTGTGCAGAGTGTTCAGACAAATGGCATGCCTATGTGTTTGGAAAGCTGATGGCTAGAAACCTGAAACCTGAGGGATCACCAGGGTGCAGCTAATGTGGGAGCTGTGAGCACTGTGTTGGTGCTGCTGGCTCATCCCACCCACAGGGGCTGCCACTACTCACCCTCACCGTTGCTGAGTGCTCCGTTCTGTTCACTGTTTGGGGGAGGCTCTGTAGCTGAACTTGTGATGGAATGGCTGAAAACCTCCTTCTCGGAAGGCTGCAACACAAATCAGTGACCATTGGAGCAAAATAAATGTTCACATGAACATACACACAACAAACTTCATTCTCATCTCCAGAGCTCTGACTCACCTCTAACTCACTCAGGTATTATTGGCAGCAGAACCAAACCATGCCAATTAGATTCAAAGATTTAAGTGCCTGTGTTTACAGATGTTAAGAAGAAATAAATGCAAAGATGTCCAGAGTGATGTCCTTTTCAAGCTTTATGGTAATAGACACTACTATGGCTTTAACTCATGAGAAGACAGCAGCTGACAAGGGGTACACTGCCCTTGGGCTGCAAATGGAGTGAAGGAAAGGCTGGAGTACAGTGGTGGCAGAAAGGGCACCGAGAAAGTGCAGATTATCAGGATCTACACAAGTTTTCCTCCTCTTCCTGTTCTGCAACTTTCAAAGTTTCTCATGCTCAACCATCTTGAAATTCCTGAGCTATTTTTTTAATCTGCTGTATTTTGCAAGGAGCCTGGTACAAACCAACCACAAGACAGACACAAGCTGCCAGAAATAAATACTTACCACATTCATCAGGTTTTCATGATCTCCATTCTGATTTTTGGCCTTCTTTTCCCTTAATGAAAAAGGCAAATGAATTTTTACTACAAATTATGCTGATATACAAAGTTCATTCATAGAACTTACACTCCTGCAGGGAACAGAACTATGATTCACAATAATATTGAAAATGGAATAACTGAAAATTATTACAGGAATTGGTATGACCTCTGTGTAAAAACACAGTTGAGGCAGAATGGTGATAAACATAACTGAAGAGGTACAACAAATACACAAAACCCTTCTTCTCACTCAGTGTTAGATCACAGTGAGAAGTGACTGGTGATAATTACAATATAATGTAAATAATTATGTAGAGACAGGACATGGGGAAATGGCTTCAAACCGAAAGGGAGCAGGTTTAGATTAAATATTAGGAAAAATTCTTTACTGTGAGGGTGGTGAGACACTGGAACAAATTGCTCTGAGAAGCAACTACTTGTGGATGCCCCATCCACAAGTGTTCAAGGTGTTCAAGGCCAGGCTGGACAGGACTCTAAGCAACCTGCTGTAGTGAAATGTGTCCCTGCCCATGACAGGGAACTAGATGATCTTTAAAGTCCCTTCCAACCCAGCCCATTCTGTGATTCTGTGATAATAAAAATATTATTCTTCAATTTAATCGTATCTGAAATTCTCAGATATGCATTCTGGTGACAGACTACTTAGGAAGTCCCTCAAACTGTGTCAGTAAAAAGAGTGTATCCTATGAGGAATTAGAAAAGGCCAACAAAATCCAGATAACTTCAGCTAAAAATGCTAGTCAACTTGGTAAGAAGCATGAGCAGTTCAAAAAGGCCTACAAACTTCATAGCAGCAGGGGCCTACATTTTTAAAGGAATCCTGCTTCCCTGGCTCCTTCATAGAAGTCAAAGTATGGATCACATTTCCAGTTTTTACCATTTGGGAAATACAGCTCTTATTCAGAAATACTGCAACGAAGTATGAGCTTAATACAATGTTACTCCTTCCCCTAGATGAAAAGTCAAGTAAAAAGGCAAGAAAATATTGACAATATGAAATTTTTGCTTCTTCTAAAGTCTGCAGGGAACTGTACTTCCACATAAGCAACTGTTCAAATTCTACCTGATTGGGAAATAAGCAAGTGAGCATGCAGAGCAGAGAAAGCTAAAAGCTGAATTTCCTCTCTGGAAGTTTTTCTGACTCTGATAATTTAGAAAGAACAAATTTTATTCAGTTTTCTGTGTTCTCATCTGTTTTTGAAGAGTAAGCCAGGAAGAAATTCTGCACAACAAAAGTTTCTGCAAAAACAAACTTCCCAACAGAATGTCCTGAAACAAAAGATACTGTGTCCAAACTAGCAACACAAGAATTTATTAAAAAACATCACCAGAATAGTTCAGGCAATGTATCTTGGTAACTACAAAGAATACTCAGTAGTTTGACCCATCCTTCCAGAGATGTTTCAAGGATTGTTGTGTTACAAAAGAAAACACAGAATTATCGAATCATTTGGGTTGGAAAAGGCCTTAAAGACAATACACAGTACCTAAATGCAATTTTTGCGGAGTAAAGAATATTTAAAATAGACTTTCTACTTTAAAATAAATATTAAAAAAATCTACTATTTTTTTACACATATATCACATGAAACTGTAACAATAAGAAGATATTGAAGTGTCAACTTACAGTTTACAAAAGTGTTTCTCCTGAATCACATGAAATTACATGTTCTAACTTAGGCTCTTTAGGGTTTCAACCAACTTCAAGACCTCTTTTTGCCCACAACTGTTTTTTGCATGGTGAGCATTAGATAAATCCTGCTGAAAAACAGGGCCTTCCACTGCAGACACATCTTGTGCCAATACAGTGCATTTTATGGCTGCACAATTTCCTCAATGTTCCCAAAGCTGAAGGGGTGAAAGCACATGCATCCAAACTGCAGACCTTGCTGCTGTACTGGATTTTTTTCCCCCATATACTTGGCTGATTCAGCTGTGCTTGCAGATTATAGCAATATGGACCACAGCAGTCCCACTCCTCACAGCAAAGGGTCTCTGACTGGTCAGGCCTGTGGACAGGCACCATGGACAGACTGCATGTCCAGCTTCCCTGGGCAGGGCTCAGCTTACATGTCATGAAGGAGCCTTGAAATGTGAATAAACAAAGTCTGTAGAAGTGCTTGTATTGGTGGAATTGAATCCTCTCATGGAGAAGAAAATAAGGATAAGCTATAAAGCATTAATTAGTACCACTATTTGATCCTTACTCATTTTTGCTTGAAAGGCAGGATCAATACTATATTCCCTATACTTCAGGAATGGCCACAGCAAAGCTGAAGTACATAACCACTTCCCTTTCCTCTTTACCTATCATTTTTTTTTGTCCTGTTTAGCTCATCTAATGTTCTCAGATTCAGAGAACAGTTTTAAGGGTGTGATCTGCTAACAACTCAGTGTGTCTATTTGTGCTCCAGGCTTCTGCTTAGGGGAAACCACCAAACAAGCACAATTGTGTACTTCCTTCACAGCAAAAGAAAAATATAATTAGATTTTGGAATGAATAGAACTGTTCAAACTGAAGTTTGCTCTGAAAACTGCACCTTAATTTAATTTCTGTACCTCAGTCCTCAGTATTTCCTGCTAACTATTTCTGCATGAAGCTATGTCCAAAGTGAATCAAGAGCCATTAAGCCCTGGAGCCTTACCCATTGCAGCTGGAGCAAAGGAAGATGAGGAAGGTGAGGAACAAGAGTGTCGTCATGGCTGCCAAACTTCCCCACAGGATCACGTGGATCTGTCCACTGCCTAAAAAAACACCCTCTAGCCCCATGGTACTAGCAGGAGCTGGTATCACTTGGGGTTGAAGAAGTTACTCCTTGTAGAAGACTGACATCTGTGCTGCATGCACCTTCTGTTTCTGCAGAAGGAAAAACACCATCAGAGGTTAAGAGAAATTCTGAAGATAATGAATCTGACAGCTACAAGTCTGGCAGGAGAGATTTTCAAATCCAGATCTTATGAAAACCAGTTTCAAGTACAAGCCAGCCAGCCAAAGAGATTTTCAGCTACATTTTTGACAGTAACATAGATTTGTCAAATATTAATGCAAGCTGTTACCTATCTACAATCTCAACATGAATAAAAGGTAGTACAGCATCTGTGTACTTTTATTTTCAGGAAGAGCTTTATAAATCCATTTTGAGGGACAGAGTAATCTATTTTGTGATTATATATTATAAATTTAATTGAAAAGTGAGCTTTCAAAACCCGCTACAACTTCTGCAAAGTTAACAAGCCAAAAAGAGCTGCACAACAAGTGTTCATCTCCTTCTCTCTGTCTCTCCTGCCCGCACGTGATTCGAGGCTTAAAGTGCAGTGACAAATAAGCAAGGTAAGTCTTTGAAGGGAACAGCACAAAAACCTTTCTCACAGCAGGTAAGATCCAGTCTTATTTCTGTGTGACATGCTTATTTTCTTAGTAGTATGTCTGGAGAGTAACAATACTGAACTTTTTTAGCTTCTCCCCACCTGAGTCTGAGAAAAAAACAGAGCAAAGTAAACTCTGCTTTTTTAAGAATTTAAAACCACAGCTTCTGCTACAGCACAGCAGCCCATGGGGAAGACTCCTGGGTAAACCCTATTTGTGACATATGAGTTTTGGTATACAATATATTCTAAAATTCTGTACATATATTTAATGCAATACATTGTTGACATGACAAAATTTAAAAAAATGTTATTAATTCTTCACTGCTGAAGGTGTCAATTTCTCCATATTTAGGGAACAGGGAATGCAAAGGCTATTTACAGGCTTTCAGCCTGACTTGATTGATAAAAACTGAAATAGAATACAATGGCTCAAAAACAAATGAAAAACTAGCACAAATATAAGACTGACAATGTCTAAAGCCACGAATGACTTACTTTAATGCATATATTTTCATAGAATTTTTTCTTGGTATAGGAAATATGTATGGACATATATTTATTTCTTTGCAGAAGCATCCTTTTTGAAAACAAATTCAATTAGGTACTAATATCATACTTGTTTACAAAAACATATCACCATTTTGCTATTAAAATCTTATGAGAAAAGACGATTTATTTCCAGAAAAAGGCCATTCAGATCAAAGGAAATCAGATGAATCAGAGAAGATAGTTATACATAACAACTAAGTTATGTGACTGTGTAGCTCTTATAAGTAACATCTCTGTTCCTGCAGAAAATGAACTCATTCATTTCAACCATGCAGGATCAGACTTCTGAACACCTTCCAAGAAGAACCTTACTAATTTATCTACAGTGAATAAAAGCTTTTGAAAAATACTTTTTTCTTTAGGTAATAATAGCATGGATATAAATTGAAATGGAAAGAAACAAACAAAAGATGGAAGAAGTTGCTGATCCTGAAAAGACCGATTTCAAGGTGTAGTTAGATATTTTTAGTTTGAGCAAGAAACAAGAAAGCCTGACATTGTGTAACTTCTCCAGACCCCTAAATACACATGAAGAACACGTGCCACACACCTTGGCAGAGCACATACATCTGACTGGTAGTCTTGAGCACTGACACCCAAGAACCACTGCTCTTCAGCAGTGACAACTACCAAGCTGTGTGCCTCTCTGGTTATCTTGGCAGAGCCTGAAAAATTAAACATTTAAAAGCAGTGGCAGATCACTCTAAAAGTTATGTATATAGCAGATGATACAGCTTTGCCTCATCCCTATTTCAAAGACCAGGTTGGGTTATTTCTACACTGAGTGATATAGCACTGACTGTGAAATTGAAGGACCTTTAAGGGAAACTGAATCAGTTTTAGTCAGGAGAAAACTTGGTGTAATGCCCACAAGGACCTCTTGATGTCATGCAAGGGCACTGTGCATTGGTATGGATTCCTGTAAAGGTGATGGACTGTCCTCATCTAGAAAATACTAAAAAGCACACTGTGCTGGCTGCCTTAACTAGCTCCAAACCCTTGTTAATATGGCTGAATACGAAGTACTTCCCTTTTAAACTTTTCTTTTTTATGAATTTTCAAAGACATTTTCTGCCTTGCTAAAACTTAAAAAAAAATTCTTTAAAAATCTCCTTATTTCTTTTCTCCAATCACTTTGCCTTCAAAACCCCCTAATTTTCTTATTTTTTCCTTGGAAAAAAAATCATGAAATAAAAATGGAATATAAAAACAAAGAAACTGAACAAAATACTTTTTCATAATTTTTGTTGTCTTTTTTAAAAAAAATGTCAAGAAATAAAAAGAATGCAAATAAAAAAATAACCAAAAAAGAAAGAAAGAAAAAGAGAGAATAGGGATTTAAAATCGTCTTCGTAAAACAGAAACACATTTTTATTTTCTTTTAGAGAAGACACAGACCTGTTTTTAAAGGTATTGAAATCATTTCTACTAAGTTCGTAATTTTGTATCTGCTCTGAATACTATACTCTCAGAAGACTACATAATTATTACTTAAGCTAATATTGTAAGAAAAGCGTTTTTTAAAAATTCTAAATATATATTCTTAAGGTTCCAGGACTTTAAATAAAGATAATATTTCAGCTAAGGGAAGCTAAAGATACATGGGAAGCAGCCCCATGGAAAAGCTGGGTCTTTGAAGGCATCAGTACAGAGTTAGTAAGTGTCAGGATGAGCTGGAGCAGACGGAGTTCAGACTGAACTTCAAAAGGAGTGAGATCAGAAACAGTCCATCAAGGAAGACCTTTCGTGTGATGTCAGGAGGAAAGTGCAAGACTGATGCTACATGTGAAGCATCCCACCAGGCAGAAGTCGAAATAGGAAAGGGAAGAACCAAGGCCAAAAGATGTAGGTAATTTACAGGAAAACAGCACAAAATGCTTTGACTATATATGCTGAAAGAGGTCAGAAAAGGACAGAAAAGCACAGTGGCACTTGAACCAGGGGAGGTGACTGCTGCAGACACCTGTGCAGCAGAACAGAGAAATAACTAGGAACAGACTGACAACAGGTGAAGCCCTGAATGAAGGAAGCTGAGCAGGCAAAATGTGATCAGTGATTCCTCTGAACTCCTTGAACAGCAGGAGTTTAGCCTAAATGCTAAAGGACCTAGAATCTACTCAGCATATGTGACAACCAGAAGTAAATACAACTGTAACATAAAAACATCTCAGCCTTCCAGTACCTAAAGGGGACCTAAAAGAAAACTGGTGAGGGACTTTTTTAAATGCCATAGAGTGACAGAACAAGGGGGAGTGGCTTTAAACTGAGAGTAGGTTTAGCTTAGATCTCAGAAGGAAGTTTTTTTTCAGTGAGGGTAGTGAGGCACTGGAACAGGCTGCCCAGAGAACTTGTGGACACCCCATCCCTGAAAGTGTTCAACACCAGCTTGGATGGAGCTCTGAGAAAACTTGTCTAGTGAAAAGTGTCCCTGCCCTGGCAAGTGGGTTGGAACTGGGTGACCTTTAATGTTCCTTCCAACCCAGGCCTTTCCATGATTCTGTGGTTCTAGATTCACCCTCTGTGAACCCTTACCTTGCAGAAGTCATCAATTGACATCAGAGGGCTTACTCATTCTGTTTAATGCCTCCCAGAAAATGAGGCTGAAATAATATTCACCCAGGCTGATGCCTTTAACACAGGAGAGTTTCTGGAATGTTTGAAGGTGGACCAGCACCCATCAGCTGCCCCAACCAGCCCTGAAGAGAAACCTGGCAAAGGCATATATTGAGAACACAATTGCTTGAACTCTTTCTGCTTCCACTGTGTGAATGACTGGACATTAAAACATCAATGCCTAATACCCTGGATTTAGGAAATGCTCTAGAGGCTAGCTTTAAAGAGAAACTTACTTGAAATCATAATGATGGAACAACAAGCAGCTAATTTCTAAGAGCTCTCTGACAGCTGAAATTATTAACTTCTACTTTTACAATAGAAAGTGATATTGTGCTGCCCTCTGGTGAATCTCTCTGTTTGGGACTGGGATTTGTGGCTCTTACGAGGGTGCTTCAGAGCTCGGTGCAAACTCTGCTGCTACAGATGGAGTTCACATGGGGCCCTTCATCTGTCAGGCTCAAAACAGTCCTACCTCCACCCTTGGAAGTCTGTCAGACTCAAATAGATCAACCTTGCAGACGGACACTGCTGAGACAGAAGAGCAGTCAATGGAACTGTTTGGAGTTTTAAACATTATTTTCCTGTGTGATGACCCTTTAAAGATGAAGATTTCTTCCACTGTACCCTTTCCACAGAACTCTCAAGAGAATAACAGGGAAAGGCCTGGAACACATGGGTAATAAACCTGGTTATTTCATCTATGGCAAAATTTAAACAATAGTCTGCAATCACATTTCAAAATCACTACTAGTTCAGAAAACTAATCTTTACAGTACATTGGATAAAATTTCTTCTTCTTGTGGGAACTTCTTGCTTTTTAGACATCAATATTTGCCATTATTGAAATCTGTATGATTAAGGATGCCTGTAGCCATTCCTCAAAATTGCACTTAAATGCCCAATTATATTTGTGGTTTCAGAATGACAGATATTTTGTTGCATAACCCACACTTTTATGGTGAATAATGTGTTATTTTTGCTTGCAGCTGTTGTAGGGATAAAGCAGAGCTGAGGCAGTTCAGCCTGACATGATGATGAGGAGAATGCAATTTTGGTTCCAAAACACTTGTATCTGGAGTGAAGCAGAAAGACAGGCTGCAACTCTGGGGAGCACATGAAGAATAACTTTTAACTCCTGGGGAAGCTGCTGCAAAAGTTTGTAGTGAGACCCGAACACCTTTGAAGACTAGCATCCAAAAGATCCAGTGCACTTCAGGTCCAGGATCGGGCCAGGATTTTCTGAGCAAAGTCCTGCCTGAGTTTATGGTGGTAGATGTAAAGGATGTGCTTGTGACAGGCAGATGCCATGCTTTGGTGTCCCAG